CGAGGACTACTTGATTTAAAACAAGGAAATTAATATAATCATGCCTTCACTAAAACTGGAACGGACATAATCATTGTAGACAATGCCAGGAAACTGCTTAATAATCAAAAGAAATTGTAGGGATATATTAATACAAAATATAGATATGATGGTGGTGAGGCTGGACGTCGTTTGTTTGAGGATCCAGCAGATCAGTTTTTAGAACTGAAAATCCAGATTATATTCACATATAATTTGATTATAATAGTGATAGCTTGTGCAGAAAAACCACAATTTTCGAAAGAACCCAATACTGGGAATTGGTGCACACAGGTACGAACAAAGTATCCAAATAACCTTACTCTAGGTTTGAATTTAGACACGTTTCTTCTCCTAGACTGGTCAGCAAGCAAGACTAATGAGATGAATGTAAAGAACACAACTGGACAGTATTTACATTAGTCGGACTATTGTCCTCATCTTTGTCGCCATATTTGTCACAACGTTTCGGCCGTTGTACGCTCCGGCCTTCTTCAGGTGGTTGGAATTTCAAACTGAACCCTTTATTTCGATCACTGGGGTAGACTGTTCTAGTTCCACGTGCCATGTTTGATGGATGTCAGTTATCAGTTATCTCCTGCTAATTTTCCCTCTGAAAGTTCTCCACTGCCTTAACCAGGAATTGAACTCACCTTCTTTGGGTCTCTCACTGGATCTAACCAACGCATGTGTCCTTGAGGACATCTGGGTATGAACTTCTGAGTATTATAAACCTAATGTTTTCAGCATCATTTTTACCAGTGCTCATATTGCAATTTTGCTGTTATCCTTGCATGTCTTTACCAGAGTTCATATTGCAACTTTGTTATCATTGCTTTTCTCTGGCACTCCTTATTACTGGTTCCCATATTGTATTTATTTCTATGCTTGGTCGGCTGAGGAGATTCTTGTGGCCTAGCATATGTGCTGATTCCTTAAGTTTACGAATTTTCCAATGGTGTCCCCTGTCTATGATCTCAACATGATCCCACAGGGGGCGGTGATCTCCCTTCTCTCTCCATATGTGGTCAGCCACGCCTGAAATTCCAACCACCTGAAGAAGGCCGGAGCGTACAACGGCTGAAACGTTGTGACAAATATGGTGACAAAGATGAGAACAATAGTCCGACTAATGTAAATACTGTACATAATACCTCATCTCAGAAATATAGACAAACACAACTGGAATTCGAAATAGGTTCTCCGTTTTCTCGTCACGTCCCATATCCATTACATCCATATATATATATATATGGCCGTTTCGTCTCAAATAGGACGAAACGTTTGTTCAGTGCTTTCTGCATTCTGATAAATATTATTCTGGGCTCGATGAATCACTTAATTATGATTATTCTAAATCCCGCCTAAATTTCTTAATTGTATATCGTAGCTTGACCCAGCTAATGTTCGTGAGGAGCGGCTAGGTGTCAATAAGCAGACGCTGCTCTTGGGGCACTGTTCTGAGGTTATCCATATACTTGGATGAACCTCGCTGCGGAACTGACTGAGTAGCGGCGCTATAACGAGCCTAGTTTGTGTCTTCTTCGTCAGCGAGGCCCATAGTACCGTTGCTATGACCCTTGCGTGTATCGAAATTGTCCGCGTTCGATTCTCGGTAGTGGATGCGCACTCCTGATTAGACCCAAATGGGATGAAACGACCGTACAGTGCTTTATGCATTCTGTTGAGGATTACTCTAGGCTCGATGAAATACGTAATAATAATAATAATAATAATATATATATATATATATATATATATATATATATATAGAAACACGATTGGAAATAGAAATAGCTTCTCCGTTTTCTCGTCACCTGCATTTATCCATCATATCCCTATATATATATATATATATATATATATATATATATATATATATATATATATATATATATATATATATATATAAATATATATCCAATTGTTATATTATAGCAAATAAAATTGTCCAATTGAACTCTTGTATCTTAGAAATAATTAAAGATATCTTACTGTAATTTTCTATTGGTCTCTACTTTGAACAATAAGATTTTATTTAGGGTTTTTCGGTTATTATATTCGCTATTGCCAAGGATGCTTCGCTAATTTCTATATGTCTCGTATCGACGACAATGTATTAAAAATGTTAATAAACCGCTATGTAAATATTCTTTTTTATTATTATTTTAGCTGAAGGCAGAAAGACATTTATAATCTCAAAACAACATTTGAAAAAATCTATATCCGTAAATTAGTAGAAAAATAAACTCCCATCCTCAGACGTTCTTGTAGAATTAATATAATTATCAATATAATTAAAATTAATATAATAATTAATATAATTAGAAATTTCTCAAAGCGAGCGCAGGAGAATTCCTCCTCTTGACTCGTCTTTATAGAACTCAGTAACGAGGAGACGCTAGTTAATGACACTTATCTGAATTTTCTCAGAGATCATCTAATTAGACTATTTCGTTCTAACTAATAGCAACACTGAACACATAGAAAAAACGATAACATTAACATTTTCGGCAAACTTTGTTTTTGGGAACAGGACTAGTCTTGATTTTATTTTTTAGTCGCCTTTTCACACAATGGGAAGGTTTTCTGATGAAATCATACCTTAGTAAATCTAGACGCTATTGTTTATCTAGTTAATGCAAATAATTGTTATTTCTGGCCTGTTCCCGGTATTCACTTTTGTTGTGATGCATGTCAGGATTCCAGACCTCGCCAGGTTGTTTTTGCTTCCAACCCGTTTTATCGTGACTGAATCTGTCTTTGATAATTTTCCACTTCGTAATTTACTTTGTTTCTTCATTGGCCCTAGCGAGTGAGCTGCTTGATTTTGATGAGAGGCAGAATATAGTGGGCTCTGTCATTTTTCTGTGGGGAGGAGGGTTCCTACTAACATAGTTTATTTTTTTTATTTTGAATGTTTTGTTGCATTTTATTTGATTTATTGTGTACATCCCCTCCCCTACCTCGTATTTGATGTTATAATTTTATATATTTTTATTTTAAAATAAAAAAAAACACACAAAAATTTGTAAATATTTTCATGTTCTGGGTGTTTTAATAGGATCCCAGACATTATGCGGTATTATGGTATTTGTTCAAGTGAATGGGGATGAATGAGTTCTTGAGGAGTAAATTGTCATGAATGAATGGGTCGTGAACCAGATTAACTAGAAGTAGGATAGTCAGGGACGACCACACCTTCCCACCCCCGTTTGTCCATGTAACGTAATATTTCAAAATAAAAAAAATTCGACAAATATCCACGAATATATATATATATATATATATATATATATATATATATATATTTTCTGAGATGAGGTATTATGTTCACTATTTATATTAAGAACTATTGTCCTCATCTTTGTCGCCATATTTATTACAACGTTTTGGCCTTTCAATATCTGTATATATTTCTGAGATGAGGTATTATGTACACTATTTACATTATTAGGACTATTGTCTTCATCATGTCGCCATATTTATTACAACGTTTCGGCCTTTCAGTATCTGTCTATATTTCTGAGATTAGGTATTATGTACAGTATTTACATTATTCGGACTATTTTCCTAATCTTTGTCGCCATATTTATTACAAAGTTTCGTCAAGACCCAAAGTGTGTAAGTTCAATACCCGGTTAAGGCAGTGGAGAACTTTCAGAAGGAAATTAACAAGAGATAACTGATAACTGACCTGCATTAAACATGGCACGTTGAACTAGAACAGTCTATCCCAGTAAGCGAAATAAAGGGTTCAGTTCGACATTCCAATGACCTGAAGAAGGCCAGAGCGTACAACGGCCGAAACATTGTAATAAATATGGCAACAAATATGCGGACAATAGTCCGAATAATGTAAAAAATGTACATAATACCTCATCTCAGAAATATAGAGAAACTCCCAAAATATTTAGATATGAAAAAAATGACAGACAGATAAATATTTTTTTAAACATTTCACTCCAAAAAGGCAATAAAGCCACTAAGGCGCAAAGCATTACTGCTTTGTAGAAAATATGAGAGTTAACTCTATTATTATTATTATTATTATTATTATTATTTTCTTTCTAAATTGTTTAATAGCGCCTCTTCTACTTTATTCCTGTTCTATGTGATGCTTTTAGTTTCAGCTTCCCCATTCAGGATCATTTGTTTTCTGGATATTCTTGGAATGGTATCACCATTATTTGTTTCCTGTATGTTTTTTTGATCAAGATTTATTGGTTCATTTTGGAATCTATTTTGTTGCATAATTCTAATCTTACCCTTCCGTTTTTAAAAAATTGGTTGCTATATCTCGGTGTCCCCCATGGTTTATGCGACCGGAAGTGAGCTATTTTCTTCGCTGGTGGTGTCAGTTTAGTTACATTTATTCAACCTAAGCCTGTAATGTAATGCTGAAGTCAATAATCTTTTTTATTACATTATCTGTGATATGCCGTATGATGCAGTGTTTCATAGGAAGGTCGAACCATGTGATAAGGATGGAATTTAACAAGTGTTCGCAATTACTGTTTAAGTTTTGGGTTTTCCAGAGTGATGTCTTCTTAACATAAAATGAGTAACGGCGTTCAAAAAGACTTGAGTTATCGTGAAAATCCCCATTAATGCCTAGATTTGCTTTTATTTTTTTTCTAATATACAAATTTAATCCTGTCTAGATTTTTTGTGAAACTAGATTTTCTTACAACTCCGAACAACAATGTCGGCAATCATCAGTTTATCTAACTGGTATGCAATATTGTCTATTACAATATCTGATGTTTTGCATATTCAAACTCCATGTTATATTTTCTCCTTGTGACCCGTCCAAAATAAATTGTCTTCCAAATTCACAATGGTGACACAAGTCACAAGACGAATCCTTTGCATAGAGACAATATCAACTTTTGTTTCTTGCATTCTTCTAAAAGCAAATGCTCCATGAAATTCTTTGATCCTTACCGGTCATTTGTGTGCTTTATTTTCTACTTGAAAAA